CTTCTACCGAGGTAAGCCACCGCCTCCCGCCTCACCTCCGCCCCCGATCCACGGAACCCCGCCTGTTGCCCTGCGCCGCCTGCCGGCTGGTTTCGCCCGAGGAGATCCTCCGGCCCGGCACGAGCTGCGAGCCGGTCCGCCGTTTCCGGCCGGCGTCGCTGATTCTGGCCGTGCCTTTATCCTTGTCGCGAGATCCTTTCTTGCTGTGATGAATTTGTGGTGTTCTGACTGAACAGGCTCGTAGCTGCCAGCACGGACGATGGCCCCTTGCGCAACTGCCGGCGTGCAGATGCTGGCCGCGCGCCCCTGCGTCTCGGCCTCCCAGAGCATGCTCGCCTCGAGGGCGGCCGTCTCACGGATCGACCTGGCGCTCGGCGCTGGTAGCTTCGCGAGCTGCCCCAGAATCTCCTGCTCCAGGTCTCTTGGTTCTTCCCGGAGCGGCGCCGTCGCCGTAAGAGCGGTGTCAGGAGAACGTAGCTCTTCCGGGCTGCCCATCGATCTTAGAGGTGAGCAGTGTCGGGAATGGTGGCAATTATGTTCTGGTACTTCTATGCATGTAAAGAAAAATTATGTAATTCGACATCACATCTTGTTGTGATTCTGTTTCGGTTTTATTGGATCGTGAGATAATCATACAGATTTAGTGTACTACTAGTAGTTAATATCATTCACCTTTTAGTATATGCTGCTCCCCTTTCTAAACACAGTCAGGTTCATGCATACCACTTCAACTGATTGCTGAAATTCCATCCTTGATTCATTATAAGTTTATGACGCATAGGGGATCGTATTCGCTTACTTTGGAGTTTAGCGACTTAGGTGTGTACGTGATATATTTGAACCTTCTATTGAGATTAATTCGTTATAGTCCTGATTCCTGGAAAACTACAATTCTCTTATCGGCAACAACTGAAAAGTGGGTTTCCCGGGGACTGTATTTTATCGCTTGTTTGCCAAAACGGTGAAAAAGAAGCCATGTTGCTCTAAATCACATTACCTGAAAGCTGGCATTCAGCTTACTACCCCAGGGTACTTCAAAAGTTTATCAAAAAAATTGGGGGAGGTTTCATTGTACCTACTAATCAGTAACCTCATGTAGTTTTATTTGCATGAATTGCTGACACTATGAAAATTACGTAAATAGGTTTAGAGGAGGTCCATTTATATTACTGTTTTGAGATTACGAATATGTAATGGTGCTCGTGTTCTCGCACTAAAAAAACTAAGAAAGTGTGTAACTCATTATTCAGAAAACTGGATTTGATAGATAGCATAAAGCCTTCTCATTACTATATTTTTTTCTCATCATGCTGTGATCTTTCAGGGAAAAGGGCATTTATTGCTGGGGTTGCTGATGATAACGGCTATGGCTGGGCAATTGCGAAGGCTCTTGCCGCAGCTGGTGCTGAAATTCTTGTTGGTACATGGGTGCCTGTATGTTGATCTGACCCTTGTGTCCATCATTCTGGAAGCTTTTGTTGATGGATTGTCTCATGGATAATTGTACCTTTGACAGGCACTTAACATATTTGAGACAAGCCTGAGGCGGGGAAAATTTGACGAATCACGGAAGTCTGTACTGTAGCTCTGGAAGTCTGGATAGTTATTTCTAGTTTTAGTCGGTGCACCACATATTTCTAAACACTTATCTTTTTACAGTTGACTAATTTGCTGTTGGTACAGGCTACCTGATGGATCTCTTATGGAGATTGTTAAAGTCTACCCACTGGATGCTGTCTATGATTCACCGGAGGATGTTCCTGAAGATGTAATGCTCTATTTTTGTGTATGTCCTTGTTTGTTTTTCACTATGGCTTTCTGATGAACATTGTATTTCACTATGTTAGGTCAAAACAAACAAAAGGTATGCAGGATCGTCAAATTGGACTGTGAAGGTATGTCTATGAAACCATCTCCATCATATATGACTACCTAATTTTTGAATTTGCTTCAAAACAACATCATGCACAATATTGTTATGTGTTAAGGTTAGTCGTGTAACAATGAGTGCATGTTAGGATTACAAGGGACACAATTATAACCATCTCTACTATATCACATAAACTTTACCCCTTCCAAACTCAACGCGGTTGCATGTGCCTTGAATTTGAGGTGGTAACGGTAGTAACATATAAGTGGTATTTTTAGTGGTAGGTCATCCTTGTGGCAATATATATTAGCCCTATGGGCCTCATTGCAAAGCATGTTCCACTTCTGGCGTCTCTCCCAATTTAACAAATACGATCTGTTCTGCAACAGCTTGAGTTGGACTAATATATGAATCTGCTCACTTGACAGGAAGCTGCCGAATTAGTTAAGAAGGAATATGGCAGCATTGACATTCTTGTGCATTCTCTTGCTAATGGTCCTGAGGTAGCCTCTCCGTATTTTTTTACATTTATGTTTGCACACGCACATGCATGACATCGTACTCAATATTTTTGTAGCACCTTCACTGAAAAACCACCTAACTTTATGCTTGAAGGTTACAAAACCTTTGCTGGAAACCTCAAGAAGTGGGTATCTTGCTGCAATTTCGGCATCCAGTTACTCCTTTGTTTCTTTACTTAAGCACTTCCTTCCTATCATGAATCCAGGTAATGCACATCCCTTCAGTACTATGCTAGTATTCATATAGTTGTCTTTCATACTGTATTTTTCCCTGGCCAAATCCACTACCACTCGATTTAATTTGAGACCTTTTCATGCTTTATTTTTGTTTCAAATTTGGATCTACCTTCTAGCATGAATCTCAATGCAAATGCCAACCTCTGTGATACAACTTATAGTCCACATGAGATGTTGGCATAAAATCCACTTTTCTAGGATCAAACCTTCTTTTCCTGCATGCGGTCTCATTTTAGCTTTAGTTTGCATGTGAATCATGGTGGAGATGTTGTTTGGCTCTTATAACATGTCACATTTGCATGGAACTTCTAAGTGGACATCAGTACTGAAAAGTTCTTTCACCATTTATTAACTCTGCCCAGCTTAATAAAATAATGCGTTCTTGGACAGAACCTCATAGCCATTATATTTCACCGCCTCATGGGTTAAAATATTTTGCAGGTGGTGCTAGTATCTCGCTAACATACATTGCATCTGAAAGGACAATCCCTGGGTAAATATTTCTTGAAGATCTATGGAGATAAGCTAATTTTCAAGCTATTTTTGCTTGTTATTAATTTGATGGTTTTTTGCTTATAGATATGGCGGTGGCATGAGCTCAGCTAAAGCAGCTCTTGAGAGTGATACAAAAGTAGGATTATCTCTGCAATACTAAAGCACATTTTTGAACATGAGGTCTTTGTTTTGCATGATTAATACTATTTTTGACTTTTTTCCAAATTTATGTAGGTACTTGCTTTTGAAGCTGGACGCAAAGGCAAAATCCGAGTTAACACCATATCTGCAGGTATCCTTTTTCAGAAGAAACACGGTTTCTGACAGCTAACTTATCTTGGAGGAAACCTAGCATAATAAACGAGTGCACTTAAATTGCATTTTGTACAATTTAGTTACTATCTAAGCAATCAATCACTATTTTCTTGGATGTTTGCTCAAGTCATTTAAACATGTCATAGTTACATTACTCGTCCATGGTAATCTGCTTTGTTTAGCTGTTAAACAGTTTGGCAGCACTTGGAAGTGTATCAATATTTCTTGGATGCATATGTAGGTCCTCTGGGAAGCAGAGCAGCCAAGGCAATTGGATTCATTGAGAAGATGATCGAGTACTCTTATGTCAATGCACCATTGCAGAAGGAGCTTCTGGCAGGTTAAAATGATTTTTGTCTACATATAACTCACCGACTCCTTCCCTTGTTTTATTTCCACAAAGACATGCAACTTTTTTCTAAGAAATGATATCTTATAACAATGTTGGCATGTTGAACAGATGAAGTCGGGAACACGGCAGCATTCCTGGTGTCTCCTTTGGCTTCTGCCATCACTGGATCGACTGTTTACGTCGACAACGGACTGAACACCATGGGTCTTGCGGTTGACAGCCCCACAGTATCTTCGTTGTTGTGATTCTAGTAGGCGGACCTATTTTTCCCGATTCACCGTGGCTTGATTGTTGAATAAGGAGCTTAGTTAGTTAGTACTGTAAGAGGCTCTTGCTAAGAGCCGAGGGCAGGAGAAAAAAGAGAAGGGGGTGGCTGTTGAAAATGACTTTTTAAGCAGTCCAGTACCTCCTCTTTGGCCCATTTCTAATGTTATCTCAAATGTTCAGTGTGGCTGGTTGGTGCCTCGACAAACTGTGTTATATATATACATCAGAAATTGTGTTCAAGAAATAAAGCAGGTATGGTTGGATGGTTGGGATCGTACTATATGAGATCTTTGCGCCGTATGGATGAGACAGGATTAACCCTGCACAAGCACAGAATCACGCTCTCTTGAACTCTGTTTTGTACATGTACTGATTGGGTTAGATCAAAGGTCAATGCTGATTGGGTTAGAGAAAGAGAGAAGTGCATATTACACCCCTCAACTCTAGCCCTAGTCTAATATACAACCCCCAACTTCAAAACCGTCTAATCTGCAACCTCCAACTCTTAAAACTGGCCAAAATTCAACCCTTCCCTTCCCTTGACCGGGTTTGACCCATTGACTGATGAACAGTAAGTTCGGAAAAAAAATGAAAATTCAGAAAAATAAAATTTTAGAAAGCATTTTTTGCCTCCGGATGAACAGTATTTCAAAAAAAAAATTGGGAACGGAATTTTTAAAAAATAAATTCGACTTTTCACCAGTGAACAATATTAAAAATTCAGTTTTTTTTACATGTACCCGGAGGTAATAAATTGGAAACAAAATTCACCGGGATTTGTTTTTTGAATTACTGTAAACAGCGTGAACAGTATTCAAAAAAGTAAAAAAATCAGGAAAAACATTTTTTCACTGCGTGAAAAGTGACCGAGGGAAAATTTTCGTTCCAAAAGTTCGAACTTTTTTTGAATTACTGTTTGCACGGTGGAAAAGTCGAAATTATTTTTAAAATTTTGTTCCCAACTATTTTTTGAATTTACAATTTTTTTATTTTTATTTTTCTGAATTTTTCATTTTTTTCAAATTTACTGTTCATCAGTCAATGGGTCAGACCCGGTCAAAACCGGTCAAGGGGAGAGGAGGGTTGAATTTTGGCCGGTTTTAAGAGTTGGAGGTTGCAGATTAGACGGTTTTAAAGTTGGAGGTTGTATATTAGACTAGGGCTAGAGTTGAGGGGTGTAATATGCACTTCTCTGTTAGAGAAATGGCAATGTTATTGCTGTCCTTTGGATAAATTGAGCAATGCAAGTTTGTAACAATTCTGTGGTCCAGGAACATAAGAAAAAGAATAAGAGATACTACCAATCTATGACTGCAATCAAATGGGAGGTTCATTTGGGCTATGCTAGGCGCCGGGCTAGAGGACTCGACCGGGTGTTCCTCTTGCCCGACCGGCCGTCTCCCAGGACATCTGATCCCACTTATGTGTAAAATTTAGAGCATCCAATTGTTTTTTTTTAAGTTAGAGCATCCAATTGTTGCAACATGAAATTCCACTTGCAATATTATACTGTGTGTACACAATGTCGTTGCAATGTTTTCTCCGTGTTCCGTGAAAAAACGTGCACAAAACATTATTAGGTTTCAAGCATGTATATGCAATAAAGCATTCTACGTATGCAACAAATCCCCATCATTTCAATAAGAGATAATTGCATATTCATCTCTCAACTATTGTTGTAGTGTAGATTTTCTCTCTCTCTATTAATTTATTGTGATCCTCACCCTAAATCAAACTGCCAATGCCAGGTAAAACTGGTCCTCGGTAGCCATCAATCTCAATGAAAACATGATCTTGATCTGACGTAGCTAGGTGAAGGCCTTATGGTGTATGTGAGTGTTTTATCTGTCATCCCGATGACACGTAAGAGTATACAGAGCCCATTTAATTTAAGTCGACCACCCCCCTCTCTGTGTCCCCAAAAATTCCTTTCCCATGAACACTATTGGTGTTGGCAGCAAACCATACGTCCATACTACTACTGTGGTGCCACTGCTAGCAGCGGCAAAAACTAAAGTCTAGCAGTAGTTGTGGTGCCATCGCTAGCGGCGGCAAAAACTAAAGTCTAGCAGTAGTTGTGGTGCCACCGCTAGCGGCGGCAAAAACTAAAGTCCACCATAGGTCTAAAGAAGTTGTCTAGAACTCTAATACCCTGCTTGGATTGATTGTAATTTGTGTGTGCTCCCCGTTATTTATTTCAAAATTGACATAATTGACATTACTTATTTGCCCATTTGGGTTAACACCGCAAACAATTATTACCATCTAATCCATATGCCGTAAGCCTCCTCTTAAAACTTTCTTTGTTGTTGGTATCAACATGAATTGTTGATCTTATGCTACTATCTTTTACTTAGTAGCACATGATTTTACCAGACATATCACAAGAAAACACCTTAGTCTGCACATAGTACTTATACTAGAAGCATGTCGCGCGCTTCGCTGCGCTGGCTCCTCCCTCACACCTTCACTTGGGCAACGCTCGGTTGCACAAGTGAAGAAAACTATGGACATAGCCAACACATATCAAATAATCTTGTTCTTCTTTGCTCCTGTAGTTGCTGGCCTACAACAACACCTAGTTTGTGACCCAGGTAAACAGAGTTATTCATCACCAAACGGTGTCAGGTATGTGTACTATATGCGGGATGGAGGATGAAAGTACTTTCCATGCCCTTGTGTCTTGCCCAAAGGTGCGTGCGTTTCGTTTTGCTATGAGAGAAGAGTGGAATATTCCTGCCGAGGAGCTTTTCAGATTTACGGGGCCAGACTGGATGTTTATTCTGCTTGATCAATTGGGGTCGCCAGAACGTGATCAAGTTTTATTCATACTTTGGAGAGCTTGGCATCTCAGAAATGATATGATCTTTGGGAAGGGGAAAGAATCCTTACGTGCTTCTGTCACTTTTGTGGGAAATTACTGAAAATCTTTCACAAATGTCAAAAACTGTGCGCAAGTTGACTTAAGCATCAAAGGTAAGGGGGTGATTGATAATGGGAGGTACATCACACCAATCGCGAAGGCTCATCGTAATTGGGAACCACCGGAGGGTATATTAAGATAAACATTGATGCTAGTTTTGTGGAGAGCATGAGATCTGCCAACATTGGGATAATTGCCAGGAATCACCTTGGCTAAGTCCTGGTTTCCTCATGGGATTTTATTGGGTCGTGCACTTGTGTGGATGAAGCAGAATTTCGTGCGGCACTTGCTGGGTTATATATTGGTATTACATTCCATAGTCCTGTTATTTTGGGGACTGACAGCGCGGCTGTTGCTTTTTCTCTGGCAAAAGATTCTTTTGACAGGTCTCCTTTTGTGGACCTGAAAAAGGAGGCGATGAGTGTCTCAAACCTCATTAAGGATTTCAAGATAGTGAAGATTGACAGGCAGGCAAATAGGGTGGCGCATGAGATTGCTAAATTTTGTTTTGATAGTAGGTCAGACGGTGTTTTATGTAATAGTGTTCCGCCCTGCGTGGCTAGATTTGTAATGAACGATTGTAAGAATTTTGTTATTTCTGATTAATATATGGGGGGTTTCAAAAAAAAAGTTCTGATAAGAATTAGGAGATGAAATATTGGTAATAGAAATGAAATGAAATGACTTAACAAGATTCCCAAGCTTAAATTATCAGTCGCAAGCAACTATTTGAACAAATTACACCAAGAAACCCGGACTAAGCCTTTATCAGGGAAATCTGTCTGGTTTTGTTACCTTACCAAAGGTGAAAAACCTCCAAATTAATTGAAACAACATGATTTGTTAGATGGAAGGAAAGAAAGAAAGACAAACATACATCCATAGAATCACATGAAGTGCAAGCAGAATAAATAGGAAAGCGTGACATTGATAAATTAAGAGGGACAGATGCAAGCATACCAACAACAACAGAAACCAAATATAAGATTTAATCAAGTGATTGGCATGAGAATCGCCTACAATACGTAGGAAGCAACTTGAACGGGTGAATTAGGAGCGCTCGATCAGTTGCGTCACATGTTTGCATTTTATCAAACACATGCCATGTAGGAAATACATGTAGCTAAATATATAAAAGAACGGGGAATAGAAAGACAACCGAGAAAGGCCACACGCGCTTGTCACTACTGTTCTTTGTTTTGCTGGCAACAAATTGAAGCACTTCCCCACCGACAATCTTGGCCCACACACCCCAATCACTTACCAAGAGGGCTCACCGAGTGGCAAATCCCTCCATACGACCCAGCGTGAAGACCAAGTAAAAATTGAGACACAATGCAAAATCAACAACTTCAATTGATTGTGAGGCCTTAAAACTTAGGGAGCATAGTAATATACAAGATGTATTTAAGATGTACATTAGACATTTGCAAAGTACGACACTAGCATTTTGGAGACCCTAGTGCAAACTGAATACAATGGGCGAACGACTATATAGAGAAAAATGAGCACCTCCACGGGCATATATTATATACCATGAAAGTCGTAATAAAAGCATAAACATTGGAAAATGTAATTTTTGGTAGCAAATAAGGTCTTAATACACCATTGTATATGTATATGTGATTATAGGATATAAACGTTCATTACAAGATTCATGTAGTCCAAAGCAAACGACTATTGAAATAACACTAGTGGTTGGGGCCAGCCATCGCGGGCCGCTTGAGAGAAAGCTATGCGCACCTCACCATCATGTCAAAAAATTTAAAAAATATTCTCGCGTCACGTGGACATCACAACCATCTTAAAGGAAAAAAGAAAAACCTAGAAAATTTTCTCTAAAAAAAAGTCTCCCTACCATTTAAAAAAACTCTAAAAAATAATTTCTCAGTGACCAATCAGCATGCGCCACATGGCGTAGCTGGTTGGCCACCATTCTAGCGCCTCTTAAGAGCATGGTTAATAGTATAGCCAACTGCTGGCTATAAGTCATTGTCATGTCATCTATAGCCCATCTTATAGCCAATATGTACAATAGTTGATTAGAAGAGTGTA